CGTTCTTTATTTATTTTTAATTAATTTTTATTTTTCACACAAAATCTATTCTCCCCTCCGTTTTCACCCTGGCCGCTCCCTCGCTTTCGCTCTCGCATGATGGGTACTGTAATAATACAAATTTTTTTTAAAAAATAATTGACTTGAACAAAAAAAGGACCCCCGAAACCACACATGTCACAATTGTGATACGTCTTGGCATGACCCACCCTATCATATCATACCCGGCCTCTTCATGCTTTGTTTTCATTTCATTTCATTTTCGATAGGGTTGGATACCACATTAACTTATAAGTTTACGATTATCATAGGTATGATATAACTCCTGTCTGTGTTTTTGAATGTGGTGGCTCACGGACGGCGGTATTTTTTTCGTGTTGGTTGAACGGGTGAAGGATTAGTTGGTAGTACAATCCTTCGAGTGAGCTTTTGTGATTTGGGGTTCGGGTTATGCCTGCCTCCGGGGGGGGGGAGGTTGGGCTTTAACTTCTCGGTATGATACATAGTTTTTCTTTAGGGCCTTTTGGGCATGTATCATACTGCTTGATACATCGTGTTTTTTACGGTTATTACAACTTTGAACTCAATTTTCTCCAAGCTCGAATCTCTCTGACCTGAGGGTACACAGCGGCCGATATCTACATAGCAGTTATGTCAAAGACAGTTATGACGAAACTAAAACTCCAACAGGAGGCCTCCAAGTTGAACTATGGCAAAAATAAAATAAAAAAAAGTGCAAGGGTGAAATAATCTACAACAAGAATGCCATAAAAGTGCCCGGGGGGCGGACAGGACAGAGGGTGCTCGGAGTGCTACAAAACACGGCGCATATTCCATATGGGGAAAGCTGGGGGGGGGGGTTGGTTTTCCCTGCCGCGGGGTGTTGTGGTTTAGGCGTTCACAGCACCGGATAAGGAGTCTTGGGGTGTCTTTTCCCACTGGCTCTTGCGGTGGTGTGATTACATGCGTGGTGTCTAAGGTTTGTCCAGAAGAGATTTGATTCCTGTCGTTATGCCCTCCCTCATGCGGGGGTCTGGGATTTATTGACCTATTTGATGTACTGGCCGTCTGGGTTGGTAACTAGTAAGATTTGATATACTCTTGTATAGTTTTGACAAATAATTACTCCTGATTGCTCGTTGCAGCTACTTATACGTTTTGTATGGGGGTGTGCGTGGAAGGGAACGCTTCCTCCTTTCCCCTCTCCCCCCTCCTCTGTCTGTGTTCTCGTGCTTTCCATTTATCTTTGATGGAACTTTCTAAACAGTTCCCTATGTCTAGAGAGCCCGGGGTTCTTGGGATGGAGGAAGTCTGTGATATTAGCGGGAAAGTTCATGGTGTTGTGTTTAGGAGCCTATTGGGGGTTATAAGAGGGGTTTTACTCCATCCCTGTCCCTTCTTTGGATATTACCTATCGACTGGGTTGAGCGCCTTGCAGGCTGCAGCTGGCCGAGTGGGTGGGGGGGTTTTTGTGAAGCCTGTTTAAACCATGAAGTCAACCTTTGTCTGCCCCAAACTTTCAATATTTGCACCCTGATATTTGTGGTTTCTGAAATTTGTATTTAACATACTGGCTTTGTGGGCATAATCACACAGATTATCTCTACGAGGAATGGCCCGAAAAGCTGGAGTTGACTGTTTGAGAGGATTCTTTGGTAGGGTTCTCGGGCTTGGGGATGGGTCTATTGAGATATCTGGAGATCATGGCACCACCAGTTTTTATGCCCCCTTTACCTCTCTCGTTGTACCCCCTTCAATTATACAGCAACTACAATGGAAGGGTTAAAAGGTTTTTTTTTTTGGTCGTATTTTGCGAAATGAACGGTCGAGCGGTTGTTTGGTATCTTGGAAGCTTCTAGCCTAAAGATTTCCCAACCGTGCCACCGTGGTACTACCCCCCGATTTAGTCTGTATCTGGTTGAGTACTATTCCAGGACTGTCCGGGAGTGAGTATCTCACCCTGGAGGTAGGGAGCTCAGGTCCTACATTCTGATCCGTCTCTGGACCTTACAGTATGACACTCTCCAACCAGGATAAATAATGGTGTTCGGTCACAGAACTTACCGGATATTCCTTTCAACTGGCAATTCTAACTACGGTAACTATAATAATGATAATACTAACGATACCCCAAGTCTAAGGCCTCAAGTCTGGACATTAGTGATGATACGGACAAGGGTATGGACGTCCGGAAAGCATATATGTGTGTAACACCGGTTTTGGTAAGTGTTCGTGACCTCTCGCTCGAATATGTTGATTCTAAAGACTGTGCGGGGAGGGGGTCGATCATCGGCTGAGATGGTGGTGATACAAGTATAGGTTTGGAAGGGGTCCTTTAATTAACTCAATTATTCTGATAATGTCAAGTCAAGCTTGACAGTATTTTTCCGGTTGAAGATGCCCCCATAACTTAATCCAGGGTTCGCCCCCTGCCCATAACCCCCCACCCCGAATACAAATACTTGTACGTCCTCGGGCTGCCCATACCCCTGTCCACCTCATCAGTATAGATACTCGCGTGGGGTCCATGCACGGGTAATACTATGCTTCAGCCCCCCCCTCTGGACCTCGGCCAAATTAATTAATATAAATTGTAAATATCATAGATCAAAAGGTTTAACAAATTGTTTTCCAAGTATCATAGTCATCATCGGTCATACCATAGAGGGTTCGCCGTTAGGGTTTGGGCTATATAGCAAGCAAAGGGTCCATACCAACTTTCAATTTAGCCATGCTCCCTCCTGCTTAAAACCTCGTATCAGATCACCTCTTTTCCGGGCCAATATGAACAGGGCGGCTACTCGTGCTGGGGTTCAGATCGGTGGAGGAGCACAGACGCAAGGTGCTAGGGGGCAGCGTGTTATCGTACCGGCTGGTTTAACAACTTTGATAGAATGCTTAGATGGATGCAGGTTACAAAATTTCCGGAGTTAGAAATACATACGGCAGCTGGCGACTGGAGTGAAGGGCAGGGTGAAGGAAGGAAAAGGAAAAAAAAAAACCCTCATCTCAACTCACTACAGTACCCTACAATTAACCAATGGTTCTTCCAATTCTCAAGGCCCGTTACGTTTCTAGAACCAGTCTTCTGGGGAAAAAATATATTATTAGAACCACAGCTCGGTGCCTCTCCATTCCCCCAGGTATCCCTTCCGACACAGTGGCGGTCTAGTATTGCCAGTCCCTGTATTCGCCATTCCCATATGCGGGTGTCGTCTCCCTTTCTTGAATACTATAGCTCTATAATATCGCAGCGGCGCCCGATCAGGGTTGAATAGGGGAGACGAAAACGAGCAAGCTTCACTCTGAGATCCCGGTATACTCTTGGTCCATGCTTAATGCACTAGATCAAACCACCCATTCATCCGACCACCCCACCCCGGTGTACGGTATCCCTCCGCCCGTCCCTATATCTACAAGTAGTTGCACGTAAACTTGAGCGTTTTGGATGGCCGGAAACTGTGCCACCACAGACTCGCCGACCCGGGAATTCGTCATGCAATCCTCGATTCACTTGTTTAAAAGTGTGCTAGCGAGGGCGGGAGACACCCGTGACATTTCTCAAGGGGCGTTGGATCGAGACAGTATATCGTGGGGGCTATGCATAACTGCTCTGGTGCGCCGGTGAAGTCGGTGAAGTTTCCGAGGGCTTGTTGGCGCAGGAGTTTATCCTGAATTTTTGGGTATCGTGTTGAGTCATTGTGATTCACTCGGTTTCGAATTTCGCATCAAGGGTGTGCGAGCGCGGAACTATAATGATTACTCTCTAGTAGGTTTCTCCATCGTCGAATTTTGTGGCGAAAGGATGCGGGAGGCACTTCTAGTGAGACGTTTTTCTTTCTTGATTTCCGGGCTGCCTGCCACGTGCGGCAGTACAATCTTGTGTCATTTAGGCCATCATTTGCCCTGTGCAATTTTTCTGGGGGAAATTATTTTGTTCGGATTTTTAGATCCAAGTGCGCTCGTTAGTTATTGGGGTAAATATGATATTCGAAGAAGGAATACCAATCTGCCGATGAGGATATCCACCAGAGTGCTCGGGTGCCAGAAGGCATGATATTAAAAGGGCGTTCTCGATGTGATACTAATAAAAATCGTCTGACTTTCTGATGCCTCCGAGCCTGGCGGAATTCTCATAGCTTTATAAGGACTTCGAACAATCTTGTTCCCTTATTCTTACTTGCTCAATAGCTAAGTATTCAAGCTTAGCCAGCTAGCGGTCTAGGACATCAACATCCACCAATTGTCTTCCAAGTGTTCACGGAATTTTTCCTCTTTCAACATACATACCCCCACATCTTCATATGACCTTTTACAAACTCCACTTGCTCCCCTCCATAATCTCTGTTCATGGACAGCCACTAGAATCCGAGCGATACTTATTACTGCAACTCTAGCTGGGAGGGAGTTGGGGGGTGGCTGTTTGCTTGGCTTTCAAAATCGCAGATTAGGTAAATCTTCCCACCGGCAGGAACCGTGGCACAGTTAAGTAGTAACAGGAACGAGCCAAGCCCGGGGGTGTGGACACTTTACCAATGGCCAAGCATACCCAATGCTGGTCTAGAATTTCTCACCCCAAAAGGCCGACGTTTGCAGGTTTCGGCTAGATGCTAGGATTGTAGGGAGGTGGTGAGAATCCGTGCTCAAGATTCGCAATCACGATTTGCTTACCATAGTTACCAGTAGCTACAATTCCCAGTAGCCCGCTCGTTCCCGGACACTATACACCACTGTCGGCGCATCAGGGAAGGTTCGAGAGACTTACCCACAGCCCCTAGTGGACTGTGCTGTGTAATTGAGGGACTGTTTTAGTTGGGTTAACTCCTCTCTTGGCTCCCGGCCCCACGATTGGGGGAAAAAGTGTGTGATTGATGTATAGGGCTTGATCCCTGCTAACGTTTCCTACGTGCGCAACGTCATTGTTAGTATTGCGATCGTTGCGAGGCAAACCTTGGACTGTCTTATTTCCACTTGCAGTAGGGAACAGATATGGAGTCCGGCTATCAGATATTTAATTTTTAATTAAATACAAACAGGTGCATAAAAAGGGAGTGTAGAGTTCACTGCCTGTGAAGAAAGAGACCGGAGAAAGAAATTTTTCGAAACAAAGCAAGAGTGACAAGCACGACTACTGAGAACTGAGAACTGAAGAATAGAAGTAGGGAATAATGGGAAAGACTTAGCACGACAAATGCTCATGCCTGGCCTTCCACGTCCACACCAGCACCCGTTACGCCCGATCCAGCAGTAGACGCATACCTCGAAAAGGTAGAAGCACCCAGCTCCGTCTCCGGATTCTCAACCTTATCGCCATGGCGCCTAAGGTATACCCTCTTGCAAAACTTCCAGAACTCAATCCCAAGGAAAAACAGGAAGGCCTCAACAATCACAATACCCCATTCCCAAGATATCGGGGCATGCTTGAATACGACTGTGTTGAGACCAGGGATATAAATGATTGGGAACACAGTGATAAATCCTGCCATGATACTCCAGAACAAGAAGGGGTTTCGCCAGGCATGGCGGGCCCACATTGTCCAGATATGCGGGGGGTTTGATTCCAACCTAAAGAAACTGCGGCGCATGTGCACCATCTCCCAAGCCAAGAATAAGGCAAACCAGGTGAGGCAGGTAAAGGTAGTGCTTCGCGCTCTATAAACGAGTTCACATCCATCGTTTATTCTGTGGTTGCAGTTGTGTCCTAGGTTACCATCACCAAATCCGAAGACAACTAATGAGAACGATGCGAGGCAAAGGGCAGCCATCCAGAATCCGTAAACCGCCATGTCCACAAGAAGCTCCATCGTAAAGATACCAACTTTGAGCTATAGTTAAGTCAGCCTAGCTGGCCCCACGTTATAGATGGACAAAATAAACTCACATTATGAGGCGGCCTAGTCATGACATCATCCGACGCGGGCTCCCACCCGAGTCCCATATCAGGGAAACTACTAGTGATCATGATAATCCATAGAATCTCAACGGGTGCGAGCGGGAAAACCGAGAGCCCTGTGCCATCCTTGAAAGCTAGGCCAATGAGAAGGGTGCAAGCTTGTGCAATATTCTCAGCCAGTAGATGCAAAACAAACTGTCAGGATTAGCATGTATTCAAGGCATATAGAACCACTAGAAACCGAATTACCTTTTTGATGTTATCAAACATTCGCCTTCCCTCTTCAATAGAGTTGAGGATAGAAGCAAAGTTATCATCCGTGAGCACAATATCCGAAGCGTCTTTAGCAACATCGCTGCCGGCCATACCCATACCGATGCCGACATCGGCACGTTTGAGCGCAGGAGAATCGTTAACACCATCGCCGGTCATCGCAACAAATTTCTTCCTACGGTGTAGGGCCTCCACCATGCGTACTTTGGTCTGAGGGGTACATCGAGCGATCACCAGCGGTAGAAGAGGTAGATCATCAATAGCATCATCGGAGAGATGGTCAAACTGGGTAGCAGTCATTACCATCGAGGATATGACATCTGGCGACAATTGATCAATACGTGATGGGAGTATTCCGACTTCAATAGCAATTGCTCGAGCTGTCTGCTTATGGTCACCCGTCAACATGTGGACGTTGATCCCAGCTCTATGACAAGCCCTGACAGCATCCGCTGTTTCCACACGTGGAGGGTCATAAAGTCCAATAAGACCAAAGAGAGTCATATCCCTCTCCACATCTGCACGTGGTAGGTGACCCCAATCCTCGGTTTGGGAATGCCAAGGTCTTTTTGCAAGGGCTAGAACACGAAGGCCTTGAGTAGCCAGTGCTTCCATGTTCTTCAGAATCTTTTCTTCTTGCGCCGCGTCCATAGGGACGGCCCCATCCGCATATTGGATAGTGGTGCAAGCCTCCAACACCCTCTCTACGGCACCCTTCATGAAAGCCCATTCCGCGCAGACCTTCTCTCTATCTGAGTGAGAGTTCCGATAAATGACTGTCATACGCTTAACATCGGAATCAAAGGGATACTCAGCGAGTTGAGTCCATGACGGATTGTCTCCAGAGGTGAATTTCCGACGGCCCCAATCAAAACGACTGGCAAAAACCTGAATGGCAATTTCAGTCGGGTCACCGCGAGCATCCCACCTTTGCGTTTCGCGATTGCGATGGACCGACGCAAGATTGCAAAACGTAGCAATGTCCAAGTACTGGGTGAGAAATTGCTTGCCGGTAAATTTGGAGGCTGGGAGCCATGGAGACTCAGCTTGCCTCTGAGCCTGCGTCTTTGGCACCCTGTGTGGAGTGTCATCGAATGGGGGGTCAGTTTCAAGAGAAATCTTCGCAGATGTTGGGTCAACTGGATTGTTTGAGTCACCAACAGAATAGGTACCTAGAGCATATTAAGAATCGAGGTAAACGTGAATACAAGCGGTGATTTCCTACCTTCTGCTATGATCCAAGCTTTTTTGACTACCATCTTTCCTTGGGTCAACGTGCCAGTCTTGTCGGAGCAAATATTGGTCACAGCTCCTAAAGCCTCGAGAGAATCAAGCTTCCGCACGATAACATTGCGGCCAACCATGATCTTTGTTCCAACAGCCATGGTAATAGTGAGTACCACAACCAAACTAGCCGGGATCATTGAAAGGCCAGTACTACAAGAAATCAGTCCCAGCCGAAAAGCATCAACATGGTTAATATCTGGAAAGGTATCACTCACGCAACAGCATAGAGAATAACCTCCTGACGATTGCTGAAACCGTTTGCCGCCAAGCAGATAATGGCGAATAGGACAGCGATAAGAAACAGGAATATGGCCAACCAACTTAGTTTTCGTTGTAGGGGAGTTCCCACGGAGACACCCAGGAATTTACCGATTTGGTCAGTAACTGTCAGGGCGCCGGCTTGCAGGTACCGATGAATTCCGGCATTTCCCTCCTCGTCGCGGCGCACCTTTCGAGCTCTTGATTTATCGTTGCGCAGGGATTGAGCGATTTTTCCAATCTCAGTTTGCATACCAGTTGTCACAACTACCGCTTTTGCACGGCCCTTGGAGACAGTAGAACTCGAGTAAGCCATGTTGATACGATCGCCAACACCGATATCCTCTCCCCCCTTGAAAGTAGCATTGGCATCTTTAGGAATGGGCAATGACTCTCCAGTCAATAGCGCTTCATCTGTTTCAAAGTGTGCAAAAGAGGTTAGCCCAGAAAGTACTTAACTTATAAATTAAGAGATAGTGAGACATATTCATTGCTTCTATTAGCCTAACGTCTGCGGGGATGGTATCTCCCGTTTTGACTTCGATGATGTCTCCGGGCACAATATCGACCGAGCGAACAGTCTTCGATTGGCCCGATCGAATAACAGATGCGGTGGGCGAAGATAGGGACCTTAGCGAATCCATGGTCTTCTCCGCACTATATTCTTGCAAAAAGCCGACAATGATATTGACGATAACAACAGCAGTAATAACGGCCGCCTCGATCCAAGATTGGATAGCAAAGGAAACAACCATGGCCATTATGAGAACCTGATGCCAAAATGAATCAGTAAAGCACTCCCCTACACGGCAATCATTTTTAAAAGTTGACGGGGCGGGGCGGCACACCAAACCCATGGCATTGAACAGCTGTCGTAATAAAATCCGAACCACACTCACACCGGCACCAGTATCGAGCTCATTGAGCCCGAATTTGGTCATTCGGGCCCCGGCTTCCGCATCAGAGAGCCCATCATCCGGGTCGGTGGACAATTGCCGTAGAACTTGGTCTCCGGACAGGAGGTAGGGATCATTGGACAGCCCATTGTGCACGGGTCCTTCACGACTTCGGGAGTGAATATCTTTGCCATCATTTTGCATGCACAAAGCTTGATGGCGCGCAGGGGAAAGAAATTGTGGGACGAGAGCCGGATTCTTGTGCTCTTTTAGCGAGTCAAAGAGAGGAATTGAGGATTGCGTCTTGTAGAGAATTGCCAATAGCACTAGTAGATGAGGGAGGCGGGAAAGTTCGTGCTGAGGTTGTCGGGAAGGTCGGGGAAGTCTATTGTCCTATGCTAGACGACCAGGTGAAGGAGCTCAGGCAGTTTTTGGTGATGAGGAAGGGAACCATGTCTTACTATTTAAGCAAACTGAACCCATAGTACTGTACCAAGAAACCGGTATGAAGCCACTCATGTGAAAAAAATTCGTCCATGCCAGACGTGGGGGTTGATGTGAGAGTCAGAGTTTGCAGTGACGGCGTGGCACCCGCGAACCCCATGGTGACTAGGATACCGTATTGGCTATATTCAGATCAGGGGCCACCATCCCCCTTTTTGGTCCCAACAAACAATTTCGAAGACAAAATCTGACAGCCTTTAACTCCTTTGAGTAATATAAGTTAATCAAGAGAGTGTCTGCACCAGGCACTTGGAAGTTGAAATGGCTCATCACCTCCGGCGCGCCGTCATACCCTCCCCTCCCTCCACATATATACCTACCATATAATCTCGCACATAATTTAACAAACACCACAAGGCTGATGGGCATGGCATCTTGCTGGCTCGTGAGGGCCTACTGAGACCATTGTTGTACTCGTGTTATGGTCGTCGCAACTTCGTATGTGGAACCGGCCAACCTACACAAACGGATAAGAGCCATAGCTATCTTTGTTATGGGCAACGATAATACTATCCACGGAACCCCGCCACTCACCATGGCCAGGGTATCAGCGTTTGACGCTCGCGGGTCCTCTCAACGCTGAGTGAAAGTGTATGAGTTGGATCAAGTATTTTGTAAGCCAATTTCTAAAAGGAGGGATGCTCGCATCGTACCGGCACAGCACAATGTCCCTCTGGACCGGAATCGGGGGTGCGGCATTGTCCCTTTCGCAACGAAACAAAAAACCTCCATTTCTATGAGTATCACACGTTTGGATCTCCACTACAATCCAACCCATCCCCACACGAGACAAGTCGATTCTTGTTATCCCCCGATATCGCTAGACTACGGTAGTGCTCTCCATCAACCAAAGAGTCCAAATTTGGTACATGGCCAGTCCATGCAACTTCGTTCTTACCGAATTTTTATAATACTGCCGCGCTTAATTGAACGACACTTGTGAACACGACCGCCTCAGTCTGACACAAAGCTCCCAGCGAGATGAGCGGGATTTTGCCTCTACTTGAGTATGCAATGGCAGCCTTGTCTAGCATACTCGAGTAAATATTTGATTAACGTGTCCCCAAACGTGGTTCAAATATCAGTATGATACAGGTACTCGTACAGGCTGCAAAGAGGACGGGTGGACGAACAAGGATTAGAACAGCCGTTCCCCCCATTTTGGCGAACTCGCCCCATCGCGTGCCGTAAATTACCCCCCCCCAGGAATTGCCGGATCAGCACTGGGACCGGCTGCCCAATTGTCCTTCGCTTGTGACAAAATATCTGAGCATCGATTGCAATCCCTGATCTCACCCTCACCAAGATGCGGCTGCCGTAAAAAAAAAAATGAGGCTTTCGATATCATACTCTTCGCAGTCACACACAATTCGATGGGAAAAAATGGTAGAAACCACAGGAAAGTCCCAGAGTACACACCTTGGCGGGGCATTTTTTTCTTCAATTTTTAATTCGGGTTGAGTTGAGCACCAGAAGGGGCCGCTTGTTGCCCCCAGCTTCTACCAAGAGTAATAAACAAATACAGGTACCGAACCACATTAACACTCACCATTCCTTATCTTCGCGGGTTCCCAATCCCTGAGTACTGGCTTCCTACAAGGTTCGGTTTGGCGGGTTGACGGGATTGCGATAGCCAGTTAATGGGATCCAGCATGACCCGGGATCCAGGCTATATCTACGGTACTCGTACACGGATAGAGGAAAGCATTAATCCTTCTCAAGAACTTTTTTGTCCCCTAGTCACGAGATTAGCGAGCGACAGGAGATAACGAATCGGGTGAGTTCAGGCGGTAACCCTCCCTCCACAAATGCCGCTGGCTCAGGAAGCCTTACAGTAATTCCTAATTTCACTTTTGCAAAAAGAAAAAAGATGCCCCTGTTCCTCTCCCCGCCGGTTTTCGCCGTGCTCCAGATGAAAAAACTCTTCGTTGGAACATATTGTGATGACCCGGTATCGGCACAGCAGTGGGGCCTCGGGATTTGACATAGAACTCCCCTCTAAGGATTTGGGGGAGGGGCAATGAGAGGGGAAAAAAAGAAACTAGTGTTGAATCCTCCCGTGAGACGAATGGAAAAAAAAAAGAAAAAAAAACATAGGACATCAAATGTGCATCTCTCAATCCCTTCATTCCTTGGCCCTGTATCATAGCCAATCGACCACGTTCAAGAGTGGGGTGCCCTCCAATAATAACCATACGTGAGTTCCACTAGCTTTTTTTTTTTTTGGCTGTAGAAAAGAGTTACCCACCATACACATGCTTCTTTTCCAACCATCTACGGTACCGTACCCATAAGAATATACCAAAGTTCGAAAAAAGAAAATTTTCCATTTCATATGATACGAGTATGATACATTTTTTACTCTTTGTTACACTAAAATATTCGCGCCCACAGCACGATACGGGAGTCTATAGAATCCTCATCTAGCAACTCTTCGTCCTCCCTCATACTCATAGTCTACCCGAGTAAATTTACACCTAACTTACCTGCTGTGCAAACTTACAAACTTATTATCCCACCCACCCATTAGTTGCCATCGAGCAGGCCCTTTGTTCGAACAACGAAATCAATCCAAGGGATAAATTTACTGTGCCCCTACTCGGGTAACCGGCCCTTCATATCCGACAAGATCATACCGGTAGGAGGGAAGAGAATGAACCGGAGGGGGGAAGTGGTCAAGAAATGCATGTATTAATAATGCTCTAAAACTGTCACTGTCTTGGCAAACGATGATTTTTTGCTCAATTCATTGAGCCCCGCTGTTCGTTATCTGTCCTTCTGGAAAAGTACTAATTTTGTGTCGGGGAGAAAATCAATAAATCGCAATCGCCGGATACTTGAGTACCGCATCATCTTCACGATGCCACAGTTATCATGGATAGGACTTGGCAATATGGGTAGGGCAAGTATTGACCCCCCCCCCCCCGAACCGACGTTATTTCTCATCCAAAGCTTTGATACCTACGCGCTTGAGTCCCAACATGCGCTGATATTCACCTCCAGGGGATGGTCAAAAACATCGTGGCCAAAGCAAACCTTGAAGCCTCTCTTATAATCTTCAACCGCAGCGTCGAGCGAAGCGAGGTGCTACAAGCTTCCTTGGGGGGTCCGGACAAACTGTCTATCGCCGATTCCATAGAGGGTGCTGTCTCCCAATCGGATATCATCTTCACCTCACTAGCCGGTGACGCATCCGTAGTAGAGGTTATCGACAAAGCATTAGGGTGCCCCAATGGGGTGAAGGGCAAATTATTCGTAGAGACATCAACTATTCTTCCCAACACAACCAATACGTTAGCAGAGAAAGTCCGTTGCGCCGGAGGGGAGTTCGTTGCTGCGCCAGGTATGTATGCTGTGTGGCTCTTTGTCGTGGTATCATATATGCTCTTTTCTGACAGTAAGGGCATACTGGAGTATTCGGAGCACCCGCTATGGCGGACAATGGAAAGCTTGTGGTTGTCCTCGCTGGCTGCAGCGCTGCAGTAGACCGTGTCATACCTTACTGCAACGGAATGTGCGAACATATCTTAAGTTACCTGTTATCACTTGCTATAAGCACTGCGGTGGAACAAAAAAAAAAAGTTGACGAAATCGGGGCAACCGCAGAATTGGTCGTGCGACAATAGACCTGCGCGACCGCGAGCCTGGAACGGCAACTTTATTAAAAGTTACCGGAAATACATTTGTTCTCTCCATGGTAGGCTTTTGCTCCATCCTCCTCTTCACTTTAGACTACTTCAGTGCCCCCGAGCGATGACAATTCACGCCGTACCGGCTGGCATACAGGTTGAGGCGCTTGCCGAAGGCCACGTCTTTGCCGAAAAGACCGGCCTTGGGCCGGACGTTCTGCACACGTTCCTCGAGGCCATGTTCCCTGGGCCGTTCGCAGCTTATTCCACCCGGATGATGGGCGGTGATTACATGCGTGAGCAGGTGAGAGGGGCAAACGCGATCTGATGGATACCCCGGTACATATATCCCAACGGAATGTACTAAATTAAATTCTCTTTCTAGCCCTTATTTTCCGTAGACCTCGCGAGAAAGGATGCCAACCACGCTGTGAACTTGGCGGATGAAGTGGGTGTGGACCTGCAAATAGTCAAGGTCGCTCGGGCCCACCTGGAAGAACTTGAGAAGGAAGCAGGACCAACGGGGGATTTACCAGGGCGAGTCTACCGTATTCTCTCTTCTTCATACCGCCCTTAGTGCTACGCTGGTGTTTGCTCAAACCTAACAAGTGCCATAGAATCTATGGCGTCGTTCGGAAGGAAAGCGGATTGGATTTTTCTAATCGGAAGTGATGAGGCTTAAGCGCCATTCCTAGATTGATGGTGCTGTACTTGGGAAATGATTGGGACACTTGTTCTTCTAACCTTCTCATTTCCCCTCTCGCCTCAATTAATTACAGGGCTTCATTCATTGCCCCCATCCTTCCCAAGTGCATCTGTTTGTGAATTGTTGATATGTTCAAGTGAACTACATGAAAGTGAACTACATGAGCGACAATTAGGCTCAAACAGCACCCTCATGACCTCCCCATGGATCGCGTGACCTAACATTGAGTTGGGCAAACTTTGAAGGGCCATATAGCTTCCAAGGATATCATTCATTGGGAGATCTCAGAGTCTGTTTGAATACAACCGCTCCCTTTCCCTTGCCCCCATACAAATGACCCTTTCTCTTCCGCTTGGCGATCCTTTTTGTGGTCAAAACGGCTGCAAAACGGAACGGATTGGTTGTATCCAAGCAAACCCTTCTGCACATGGCGAATAAATAAAAAAAAGCAATGAGCACTCACACTTGAAACCCAAGGAAATGGCCCATTCCCACCCCCCTCCCTCCATCCTCCGGTATTTCCCGAACCCAGCTCACCACAGCGACATGATCAGACGTCCCCTGGGGGTCGTGCAGGGCATCTAGCATGACCATGCATCCGAGAACCCACCCAATCGCGACCAGCATCGCTGAACCCATCGTAATAGCGGCCTTGCACCCAGGATCAAATCCTAGCGATCCGATTGGTCCGGGAGCCCCTCTACTTGGCAATTCAACAAGTATCAGGAAATGGTGATTGGTGCCTTGGCGCCAAGAATTCAGGGGCAGACAGTTGGTAAATTTATCCATTTATCCCAAGCGCGTCCTTTAATTGTTACACTACATATAAAAAACGCGTTTGAGCAAAAGTCAGCAAAGGTTAGAATGGCACGTGCTATTATAAAGAGAGGTGAAAAGTGATGGATTAGCTTGGAGTTCTGAATGATGTGGAAGTTAACAGTGATTAGGAAAAGAGGTAACACCACGAGGGCGAGCGATTATCATTACCTATTGATCACTGCCAAAGCTAATTACATACGAAAAAATCAAACAACTTACCGGAATCCCTATATCTACCGCGAATGATATTTGGTGCCATGCCATGGAAAATGCCCACAACACCCGCTTAGCTTCCGAGTCCACACTTGACAAGCCCTTTACCATTGTTGAACTCTCTGCCGCTTCTGTTCTTGACCTAAATATACGATCAAGTAGACCAAGTGCATTAAGTGAGGGGGAGAAGGATAGTTTGGTTGCTTTTGTAAAGCGTGATTTTAAATCTTGAAGGATGAAGCTTGTTGATATCTGGTGTGAAGCTGGATTATCACATGTATCAAATGGCACTGTATTTAATACCCTTCAAGAGCAGGTTTAGGTGCATATTGTGAAGAATTTAAATTTATTCTTAACCCACAGAGCAAAAAGAAAAGACTTGTAAGTTACCTTCTCAAACCATAGAAAATAATACTAATAACTGACATTTACTAGGAGTACTGTAAGGAAAGAGAAAATTGGCGCCCATTTAAGGAATGGGCAAATTTGGCATTCACGGATAAGATGTCAATAGAACTGGGAGCAGTTTTTGGTCTCAGTCTAGTAGGGCGAGAGAAGGGCGAACGGTGGAATGAGGACTGTGTTAGGGCTAAAAAAAAAAAGGCGCCTCGGTTATATGCTGGGGTATGATTGAATGGAACTTTAAAGGTCCATTTTATGTGTGGGAAGCAGAAACAAGGGAGGAAAAAAAAAAGGCAAAGGAGGAAATAGAAAGGCTGAATAAAGATAGGCTGGAACAGGAGGAGAAGCTAAATGCGGGTTGGAAGCAATTGGAGGAGTGGAGGATCTTGCGAGAAGAGGAACTGCGGGCAGTAAGAGAGGCACGATGAATCGCAAAGGCACAGGATACTACTGTCAAAACCACACAATCATTTCGGGGCAAGAAGCATATTCTAAAGCCATTTAAGCGGAAGGATGTTAAAGGGATTAACTCTTGGCGTTATGTGGCTTGTGTTTGTAAGTCAATACTTTGGCCTGCATGCTATCTTCGTTTACAGAAAAACCTGGACTTCCGTTTAATGGAAGATAACGCTCCGAGCCACAGCTCAGATTATATGAACTGGGAAAGGGAAAAGGCTGGAATTTCCAAAGTTGATTGGCCACCAAACTCTCTGGATTTTAATCCCATCGAACATGTTTGGAGATTGATGAAAACAAGAATCCTACGATGCAGAGGTACAGAAAAGGTTACTACCATTAGTGAGTTGAAAGTGCTGCTGGTAGAGGAATGGGACGTGATTACTTTAGAAGAGGTGAATTATGAAATTTTAAAACTTCCTAAGATTATGTCCGAATGTATTCAATAAGAGAGAGGAAATCGATTTCAAGCTTAATCTTTAATTTTTTTCCCCTGAACTCCCTCTGTCTGACTTGGGTTTACTCTTTATTCTATTACTTATTTGTCTTCTTATCCTTCTATTGTTTTTCTATTATAAATTGGATGTTATTATGCTTGAGTTTTATCCTCGTCAAGCGCGATCACAAGCTATCACTTACTCCTCTTGAGAATTATTGGCACTAAGAAAGCCAAGGCATTAATCTAGATTTCTGGATACTTGTTGAATTGCCAAGTACCTCTACGTTCAGAGTTATTTTTCGAAAAAAGACTTTAATACCGTAAAACCCTATCCTACCCTATTTGCTATCTTCATGCGTCTTCGTTATCCCTACAGATTACAGCATCCACCGCGTAACGGATCAAGTCGACATATTAACGGAGTGGTGGAAACCGGTTGGTGGGATCCAATAGCAGCGATAGGCTCATCAGTTTCCTGCCAGGTCAGGAAGGCGCACTATTCCTTCTTCTATTTCCAGTGTTTGGTGTTGTGCGTGGACAAAATTAACTGCAATTCAACAGAGGAAAATCTTCGGCGATGACAACCACATTCACCTACTAATACACTATCATGAAAACCAAAAAAAAAAATTAAAAGATGTAAATACATAGTAGAAATTAATATTTGGTATACCATCCATCAGCCTTAATAATTGCCTCTATTCTATCCACTATTGATCCAGCTAAAATATCAAAAACCTTTAGATCAAGAAGTTCCCAACAATGAGTGATGGCCTCCACTATTGCCTTCTTGACCAAATTGACATCACCCTTCATAAGATATAGCTCAGGGTAGTTCTTGTGAAGCTTACCTTTCACCAGAGACCAAATATTTTCAATTGGATTGAGATCTAGTGAATAGGCAGGAATTTCCATCAGTGTAATTTCCTGCCCTCTGAGCCATCTCCTAAAAGGCAAGTGAGTCTTAGCATTGTCAATGATAAAAAATACCTCTTCTTCTCCAGCCTTTTCTCTGATATTCTCCCATATCCCTAGAAAATCATAATGATCATAAATATCAATAATTGACTTCCCAGTAACTCCACCCCTAGCAGAAGAAGAATCAGGAAAAACAGGCAAAAAAAGACCATGAGTTTGACTATAAAAACAACCAGTCATCATCTGGCTAATCCCTCTCTCTCCTCTCCTAGCCTTAGATTCAACACAATCCTTATTCCATTTCTCATATGGCTATCTGAAAATCCATTTTCTCCTCTTTCCTCCTCCCCTTTCCACAGCTACCTTATCCCCCCACATTGCCTTCTTTCTCCACATCTCCTTTGTCCAATGCCTATGAGCTAATGCCCTTTTCAACCTCTCTTAAGCTAGATCCTCATCTAAATGAACTCTCTCTTGTACCATCTACTTTCTAAGATGCTTTTTTCCAAGTCTTCTTCTTACTGTCCTACTAGAAACATTGGGAGCAACTTGCTCAACAATGTCAGAATAGGTAGTATGGCGACTTTTAAGAGCTTCCTCCACCATAGCATCATCCTGTGACTTGGTAGTTTTAGGATGTCTTCCTCTACCCTTATTCTCCTTGCCCTCTTGATGTCCTTTTGCTATTGTATTTCTGACAGTAGTGTAGGGGATATTAAGGTAGTGGGAAATTTACTAATATCTCATCTGAGGCTCGTGTAACCTGAGAATCCTCCCCCTGGTAAACTCAGAGAGATGTGTGGAGGGAATAGGTTTTTTGGCATAACTGAAGAATAGGAGGCATAGTTTATTGACAAAAAGAATTGAGCAGAATGGTTTCTTCTTGGTTGACTTAGAGCAATTCTTTTAGGTACTGTTGAGAGTGCGGGGTGATGAAGAGGGGTAGGTTGCCACCGATTGTTGAATCACGGTTAATTTTGTCAATGCACAATGAATCAATGTCCTTGATTTTACCGCACAGAAGCTTCAAGTACATACACGTACCTTACCGTATCGTATACGCTGCTGATTCAGCACCTCGAGTTACAGAACGACCTCCGCGTCGGGTTGGCGCGGCGGTATCCATTCGAGTATTCTATAGTATTGTATGCTATGATAATATTATTAAAAGCTCACCTGTAGAACTCTATTCCCAGTCGAGTGATAAGTCATGAAAACAAGGTAGTAAGGTATTACCTGGTCCCCCTGTGTTCATGCCTATTGGTGTTGGATATTTGTAGTTGTTAAGGTGGAGCGGGTTTCTCATGCTTTCAAAAGGAGGGACTTCTCCTTTAAACCTCTGAGGGAATGATCATCTCTTCATCTTTAATCCAAACGACCAACCTCCTTTGAGTAACTTTGACTCCCATCGCTCCACTTCCTCCCTCCTCTTCCATGGCAGCTGGGGCTACTTCCGGCTTCTTTCCCCCTGCTACCTGAGCTCAATCCCTTAGTTTTCACCCCCCGGAAAACTTCCCCCAAACACTAGATTCCAGCCACTACCATCTCCGCTTATCTAAAAATGCCCTCTCCTACTGAGGGTAAAAATTGAACCTCTTGCAGAAATCGAACCTCAACATCGCAAACGTATCGGCGCAGATAAAGCACCAACAGAGGAGATTCGGTGTCATCTACACCGCAGTCGCATTAAGGAGGTGTCTATCTGTCGTAGTGCCGATGTGAGATATGATCTACGGGAGAGGTTTCATGTATTTGGGATCTGGTTCATCCCTCCTGGAGAGTCGAGCAAGTTACTTCCACCACACGTCCCCGCACAGCTCTACCCCCCCATCTACTCCAAACCATGATACAACATG